AAGGAAAGTAACTTCCCTGAGTTTATAAAAACCTGCAAAGGGGAGATGCAGTAAGCAGAGGGAAAGTTTTGGCCAGGGTCAGGCTGACAGCAGTTAACAGCCAGGTGTGGAGCAGCAGCACAGCTGGGCATGCACCAGCAACTGCACTGCTTAAATGGCATCCACACACTCAGGACGTGGACTGAAGGAAGGGAAGGAGAATTGTAACAGCCAGATAAACACTGGATACTGCTCACAGCCCTGAGGAGCAGCTCAGACCTGCCCCAAGGCCACCTGTGCTGCCTGGATGCAGAGCACAGCTCAGGGTGTGATGCCCTAAAGGATCTGCTTGCCAAAGTGCCTCTTAGTGCTGCTGAGTGCTGTATTTACAGCTAATTTTTCACATATCCCAGGAAAAGGGTTAATTCACCTTCTTTGCTGCACACCCAGAACTTTAAGATCTTTCCTTGTGCTTTAAAATCATCTACCTCCTCAGAAAACACATCATGCAGGACTCAATATGACAGAGAAGCCATCAGCATTATTTTAAATCTTTACTGATTACAAAACAAAGCAGATGGCAAATCAAGTCATGAACTCTGCATCTGCCATGCTTAATGAACAGTTTAATTACCTAGTCCCATTTCTGATGCATTTTTGCCATTCCCAGCTCTGGGAGTCACTAATATACTTCACACTGACTGATATCTCCAGGAACATGTGGTATCAGCAGTCAGCTGGAGTGGGTTAATCAATACTTGTTTAATCTCTAACTTTCATGGTGATGGCCTAAATTATGTCTCAATAGAAACAGATTTCCTATCATATCACATGATCTGGTTGAGAGCCCAGGAAACAAAAGGGAATTTTTCAGTCTCTGCTCTGGGCAGCAGAGTACCCAAAGGCAGACAAGTGCAGAGACAGGAATTAAACACAGAGAAACAACAACATCCAACACAGGCAGATTAGTTCAGTCCTTGTGTTATGCCTTATATGAGAGCAAGGGCTGCAATTATGGCAGTGTGCATTCAGAAAGCCCACAATTTCAGCAGCAAATTGGCCTCATTTGGAGTAAGTTACAAAAAGTAAATGAAACTGGGCTTCCCGTTTTGAGCTTTCTGCAAAGGATCAGACTCTGGCTGCAAAAAGCTGGGATTTTGTCTCTGGCCAAGCCTGCAGTGGTGTGGGCTGATCCCATGCACTCTACACCTTACAGAATTTCCTCGTGGGCACAGAGGGGATCCCTGCTCTCAGGAGTTCCTGAACTGAACCCTGGCAGCAGCTAAGGAAGAAACACAGGAAGGGCTGATCACAACCAGGTAAAATCCCCCAAGGAGAGGAGGAGATGATAGCCAGCCTTTGGCCCTCCACATCAGAGGGCTTTGGGAGCTTTTGGGTGAATTTATTGTTGTTCTCCAGCAGCACTTCTGCTGCACAAGGCCCAGTTGTGCTCTCTGGAAGCTGCCATCCTGAAATAAATAACCAGAGCTGGCATTCCACAAAATAATGACTCAATCAGCTGCTTACACTCAGATAAGGATTTTCAGAAAGAGTTTTTCATTTTGGGAGGCCTCTATGTCCTATAAAATTTCCTAAGAAATTCCAATTTTAGCTGTTCAGTAGCAGAATTGACTGTTTTTAACATGCCCACTTCATAAACAAAGACCAGGAGCTGTGTGCAAAGCTCTCAGAATAAGAGAAACACTCAAAAGCTTAAGGACAACACAAAAGTCAAATACAACACTGTGTGAGTAAACATGGCATTCAAGGCAAATCCAGCAGTAAATCAAACAGGCAAAAGGGCAGAGGTGGATCAGGTGTTTTCTCAGCATTTCAGGTATGTCCCAGTACTCCTGTATCACAACTACTTCAGGTGCTAAAGCAAAGATGAAAGATTTTCCCAAAGCTCTGAGCTAAGGGAAAACAAAAAGCGTGACAGACAGCAAACCCAGCCAGGCAGATCTCTGAGAGAGAGAGTGAATCCATCCCTTCAAGCATCAATTTCTGTTTCATCACCTTAAGTGAAGGGAGTGACACTCCAGGAGAAACTTTCCAGCCATCAATGTCTGAGAGCCTCAGTGGTGTCCTAATCTAGGCTAATGTTTCATTGAAACATGTAAATCAGAAAACTTCCATCCTGCCCTGATTTACAAGGACATATGGGACAAAATGATCAACCAACATGTTTAAAGAGCAGTTTGTGAGCAGGAATAATCAGGATTATTGCTCCTACACCAGCCCACACTCAGCAGTGGAATCAGTGGGGCAGGACCACTGCAGTAACATTCAGAGATTGGAGAATGCTGCTCCTGTCTGCCAGGGAAGAGAGATTTGTAGAGGTGCACTGAACTATCCCAGATTGACAACTGTGTCACTTCCAAGCAGTAAACCAACTGGAAAAGCCCAGGATCAAGGAAGCCCAAAAGAAGCAAATGAGGTGAGGAAGGAAGCAATGGACAGAGAGGTTAAATGCACTGAAATGGAAATATGAGAGCAACCAAGGGAGACACAGACTCTGGCAGGTAGCAACTGAGCACGACTGACAAGTGAGACAGGCAGTCTGTAAGAGCCACAAAATATTGCCTCAATCTTGGGGGAAAAAAATCAGCAGCTGTAGAAGTGAGGAGTCAGACTGGCAGAGCAAGTACCCCCAGAAGAGAGAACATTTACTACTGAAATATTTGGTACTGCTGCTACCAAACCAAAAACAACTTACTGCTTTCTATTCATATTCTAAAACATATTCTAAGAGTGAGACTTCCAGGTTCCAGTCTGAGCCCAAAGAAAGGAAAACTGTTACAGCATTAAACTTGCACTGTTGAATACCTCTGACACCATTCAGGCCTTGTTTGCTCAGCACACAGGAACTGATTCACTGCCCTAGCACAGGGTCAAACATACACAAATGCAGGAGTCATACTATCAAAAGCAATAGCATTTCAATCATATATATAATTCTCTCCCCCAAATTAGATTTTCACAGTCCTATTTAACAAGACAAAGATTGAATAGAGAGAACTCATCTTTTCCATTCTCAAATTACATAAAAGCACACTACAGTACTGATGCCACTAATTAGATGATTAAATACCATTCTAGGTGATATGCTTTCAATGTAAAATAATTATTTTTGACAGGAAATGTATTTGCTCAATCTCATTTTAAATCACAATATCATACTTTTTTTAATTAAATGAAAGTCTTTCTTCTGATTTTGCATGAGAAGAGCAACCAGCAGGAGAAACAGTGCTGAGGAGAGATTGTCCAAGTATCATAATGCATGTACTTCTTCACAAAGGACCCCAGCATTCTCTGGATAGAATATAAATTTTCAGAGAACAGCAAAGTCTTTATTCCTTCAAAACAGGTCAGTTGAGGAATCACTGGGCACACTGAAAACCTCCCCTGTCAAAACACAAGTTTATTTGAAGAACGCTTCCAACTTTTCCTGTGCTCCTCTTCAGGGGGAGCACAGCACACAAAGCAAAGGTTTGTCTTTCCATATAAATCAGGGTACAATCCATCACATGACAAAGTACTGTTGTGGTTTTGTGCTTAAAGAAAAGTAATTATATTTTTGTGTTCTATGACAAAAAGTGTTTCTGCTGAGAACTGGAAATAAGTTAACAAAGGGAACATTTTAGAAACCTTCTGAGAAACTTCCTCCAGGGCTGAGCAGTCCAGCACAGTGCTAGACAGCTGAAAAGGTTATAAAGACAGGCTTTTTATTGGGCTCAGAATGCACCTGTGTCTTATCCAGCCATGGCAGTCCCAAACTAGAACACTACAGAGAGGTGGATGCTGCTGGGGGCACGAGAAGGCTGAGGAGGAGATGCCTTTTCTGTTTCCATGGAGAGAGAGTTTGGTCCATCCACCCTGACTGCAGTGCCTGCCTCAGTGTGAGGCTGAAAGAACTGCTGTCATTTTTCTCTTTGCACTTCTGTGACTCTCCATGGCATCAAACTGCAGTCAGAAGCTCTGATGGAATATCCTCTTGTAAAGTGGCTGCTTCATGCTTCAAGAGCCCTGCTTACTGCACCATACATCACAGCTTCTTTGGCTCAACAGTGACATGGGAATTACACAAAATCGGGCGCAGCGCAATTAAAATCGATCAAAACGCTTTCGTTGACACTGAAAATCAAAGCCTAAAGCTCAGGCACCACAGCAGCTCTTTCCCCTCCTGCCTCCCCACGTGGTGATGTGCCTGGTTCCCTCTCATGAGCTCTGACTGCTGGAGTCTGACCTTCTGCACACACATAAGCTCATTTACGTGAGCAGCTTCATAACACCAGGGAGATTGCTCAGATGAGGGAAGTTTTGCAAGGAGTATTCTTGGAAAGTGAAGTAACTCTCATTCTGGCTATAGCAAATTATTATTCCCTTTGAGGAAAGAGAGCTCTCAGAATTTAATATAAAATTTTCAATGCTCTGCAGACTTCAGAATTATTGTATAGAATTTCATCACGAGAGCTCACCTGATATAGGATGATGCAGACTCCTTTCATATATTCTATAGAAAGAATCTTTAAACCTGTTTTCAATTTACTGGTCTAGTGCTTGCCATTACATTTGAACAGACTTCCAGCATAAGAGGAAGGCAAATCTCTTACTCTCTGTAAATTGTTTTTCCACAGGAACAGTTGACAAGGTGCTGCCACTTCGTTCTCTTTAGGAAAGGAGGCAATGCAGCCAAAGCCATTATAAATTCCCTTCAGTGGCTCAAAACACTCCAGCAACAACATGATTCAATTCTCTGCCCTCACAGCGATGCCAAGGCTCAGACAAAGTCACATTTCCTCAGCACAGCATGAGCCCAGCTGGGGGAACACGAGCACAGTTTTAGGAAGTGCTGGTACTTCCATTCCAGTGAAGCCCTAAAGGCAGGTTTCATGTCTCCCATTATGCAAAGACTCCAGAACAGCTTTGTAGCACCAGTTATAGAAGTGAACAAAGAAGGAATAGGAAGGACTGCACGTGGCAGAAAGAAATAAGGACGTGGGCTTTTCCAAAGAGCTCACCTTGGTGAGGAGCACCACACGTTTCTGCAGCCGCCTGACCAGCGCTTCCTGGTGCTCTCGTTTCTTCTTCTCGTCCAAGAGCTGGCTCTGAACACACAGGATTTCCTCCTGCAGCTGCTGCCGGGCCTTCTCCAGCATCCGGGCACTAAGAAAGAAAAGACAGACCTGTGAGCTGCTGAGTGCTGCCTCCATCATCACAGAGACCAGGAACGCCTCAGAGGCGAAGCATGAGCAGCGCTGTGTCACTCTCCTGGACAGCTGCACCACTGCAAACTGGGCAGCTGCAGCCTCAGTATCAGCTGCTGTCAGAAAAAGATATGAGAGAAGAACCAGCCCAGGGACAGCTTCTTGTGCAGCACAAGACAATTACTGGAACCTCACATGTACGAAGCATTTAAATAATTGCACATCTGTTTCAAAATCAATCCGTTTGCCTTTGAGAATGTGCTTTGTTTTCAACAAACATTGCACGAGCTTGGGTTCTACTGGATCTTTTATTTTTTTTTCTAACAAAGTAGAAGAAAAAGTAGGTTTAATATTGCCTGCTTTGACTGACAGATAGTACTCAGCAAGTAATTACAGGCACTACCTGCACATTGCTCTTGCCAGCAACCTATGCTGGAAGAGAAATATCTTCTGAGGGCAGGTGATTAGCACTTCTTTTGAGATGTGGACATGACTGTCAATTAAACCAGAACAGCCTGGGCCCTCTCTTCCTCTCAGCTCTCCGTGCAGCCCACTGTGGTGATGCACAATTATCTGTGTGCCCTGGAAGCTGTCCAGGTGTGCCCTTCAGCCCCACACTCTGCTGGGACACCGAGGGACAGCTGCTCCAAGGCTCACATCAAACAGCTCATCACACATCAAGTGCTGGCAAAGCACTTGATCAATAACAAAATAAAAGTGGAATCGCTCCTGTGATTAAGAGTCAGTTCGTGATTTAAATATGATGAGTTTATCCAAGACTTCACTAAGTGTATAATGAGTGAGCAGGACATGAAATAAAAGTATTGCACACAAGTCAAAAACCCTCAAGCAAGTGAGAAAGATCAAACTCAACATCTGCAGCTTAGTCAGAAACAGAAGAACTTTGTTTCTCTAATGCTTGAAACAACACTGGAAAATTTATGAGGGCTTCCAAGGGGTGTTATTCATCATTATATTTGAAAGAAAATAAATAAAAATGCTTTTAAATAAAATAGCACTATTGTTAAGGTAGTGTTTAGATAGATCCAAAAGGGAATACCTAAAGAACACTTTTAGCATAAATCAAGTACAACCTGTGCAGCCAGGTCACCAAATTATATTTCTTGGGAAATGTATGTAGGAATTCACAAGAATTCCAAAGCAGCTGTCTCCCTACCTCAGAATCCTTCTCTTTGAAAAGAGTATTTGTTTTAAAGCACTGGATGAATTAGAAAGCAGTTTAAAGCTCCAGTTCGATTTGGAACCATTCACAGAACAATTTAATAATTGGGAACAGTGAAATAGTCTCTTCATTGCTGTATTCAGGTGGGAAGGTTCATCAAGAGGGCTTCACATCTGCATTTGAAACTGCATCACCAGGGCACCACTACTTCCTTGGACCTGTTTTAATTAATCAGTAAAGAAGGGCACCTGTGCCAAGGGTAACAGCTTTGGGATGGAACATGCCTGTGGGCCAGCCTATCAAAGCAGCAGGTCAGTCCCCAAAACAGGGCAGAAAGGATGGGTAATTCCTGGTGACCTCAACTTCTGCCTTAAGATTTATTACAGTTTGTTCAACAATATTCCTTTTCATGCATAGGGTAAATATAAATACAAAACCCTCATTAACTGTGGTATATGTGTTATAACAATTAAAATCACACTACAGAAACCTTACTGCAAATAGCTTTTTTCATTATCAAAGAACCTTTGTCCTGATTAGAGTCAGAACAAAAGAAAAAAATGCAAACATAAGATTAATTAACCTGAAACAGCGAAAATTTCACATATGATTATTGCAAAACATTTTGATAAGGCAATGGAGCAATCTTTTTCCTTAATCTCCCAACATTGTGACTTATTCCTATAAATGTTAAGTGGACCAACAAATGATGATTGATTTGACATTCACCAAGAAAATTGAGATATGTGCAAGGTTTCCTTCCCAAAATAATGAAAAATATTTGAGATTCACATCTCATGGAGAGCAAAGACATTCAGCCACACACAAAACTCTCAAGCTAGGTTGGAAAACAGCTGCTTTAAAACACAAGAGAAGTTGAGCAAAGAGAGACAAATAGGCAATTTCCTCAGCCACTGCTGAGGAAATAACACCTTCATCTGTTTATATTTCAGCCTCAGCACAAATGTGATGTTAATGTACCTAAAATTCAAATGCCAGAGATGTCTCTGAAAGCAAGGACAATCCTCAGACTCTCTGAACCGACTGTTACCATAGGTTTCCTTGCTATGGGAGGTGTGAAATTCAACTTCCTCACAACTCTCCACACCATGCCAAAGTACATTATTGAGATGCTTTCTTCCTCTCTTTGGACAGATTGATAATTCTTCCAGAAACTGCACCAAATACAACATGAGCTGCTTCTATAATGAAAAATCCAAAAGGAAAGTGCTATTTCTTATTGACACAAAACAGGATTTGCAAGTAGGTGCTCAGAAGCATAAGCCTTTAAAGCCAGACTTGTGCACTCTTCTTCCACCCTTATGACACCTATGGCTTCTCAGAAGTAACTGCTCACTCAATATGAGCATTAAAAAATAAAATAAAATAAAAGAGGCACAGAGTTCTCCATTCAACATAAGCTTGGGGAAGTGGCATTTTAAAAAATCTTTGCAAGTTCAAAGTAAACCTTTTAAGCCTAAAAGAGAAAAAGTCATTTCTGTTTATCAGCCTATTAATGTTCCTTGTTCCACATCCCAGTGAATGAGATGCCAACATCTTTCTGTTCTGAGCTGTTTGAGACTTCATATTTTGCTCTTCCCTTCTGTAATCCACTTTAATGCAATCTTAATGATAAATCTTCATTTTCCAGAATATTCTTTGAAAGACTGAGAACAATGAGGGCACACAGTGAATACTGAAGCTGTAAGATACATTTTAATAATCTCCTTCAAAAATGACAAAAGCAGCCGACAGCTTCCCCCCCACCCCCCCAGTGATCCATAAAACATTATTTTAATCATTCCATCCTTTCAGTAGCCAAGTTACCACCTCAGAGTTACTAAAAATAAAAAAAAAAATAAAAAACAGGGAAAGCAAATAGGACGCCAGAACCAGTCTGTGTATGAACCTGGGAGGAAAACAAGGGGTCCACAGCGACAATCAGAAGAGCAAGAGTGTCTGGGTCATGCTGTAGCTCAGGAGGAGATGAGACACGTGTACCTACCAGGGCCAGCTGTCAGGAGGGAAAACACATCAAAGAGAAAAGCAGAGTGTGATGGGAAGAGCAGCGAGGGAGCACAGAGGGAAAACACGGGGACACTGCACACACGGCGCTGGGAACAGGAACACGCTGCAGAGATCAACATCCTCGTGTCACAGCACCCCCCAAAAAAAAGGGTTAATGCAGAAGCTAATGAGGCAAAAAGGAGCAAGGGAAATTGTTTTGTAGCAAGACATTTGGATGAAGGAACACCCGTTCCTGAAACTTGACAACTCGCAGGCATCTCAATGAACCCACACATAAACCACACTGGAAACTGATAAACAGAGGGCTGAACAAAAATATTATTTCTCATTCCACTTCCTCCCACAGGTTTTCTGAGCAAACACAAAGGCATAAGCAAAACCAGGGTAACTCCAGTCTTTTATTTTCCAGTGGATAGAAGCAGGACATCCCTGCCTATGCTCTCCCTCAAGGATTCCTCCAACTTCCAATTTCTGACACAGCCAACTTCCCCCTTCAGCCTCTGCCTAACCTGCCTCAGCACCATCCAGGACAGGAATTAGAAAGGAAAAACAGAAGGGGAAAGATGAAAACAGTCTGACTTAAATAGGAACAGGACATAGGAAAGAAAAGCTGAGGCTTGGCAAAACAGAAAAATATTCATCGTATCTTAAAAAGGGAAAAAAATGATCCATTACAAAATTCTGCTGAAAAGATTGACTGGAGCTCTGAGAACACAGCTACAGATGGAGCTGCCTAAACTAGTTTAACATTTAAGGCAGGTAAACTAGAAAAACCACCATCAGGAAGGAGGAGAAAACTTTAGTGCTACAAGTATTTCAGCTCAAAATGCAGAGGTCTGGGTGCTAACTATTACTACAATAACATTGGCATCTTCCTGCTTCCCTTCTGCTTCACAGACAGAACTGTGGCTACAGGGAAGCAGCAGCATCCTCCCCTGCCCTCAAATCCTGCCCTGCTGCTGGGACTGTGGGGCCAGCAAGTCTGTGTTATCTATTTGCTCACTGCATTCAGAAAGAGAAATGATACAGAATATGAACATCTTTAGCAGAAGTTATCACAGGGGCTATATTTTATTTAAAGCTTTAAGTGTGCCTCACAGAGAGTCATATGAAATACTGCTACACAAAATACTACATGAAACCCTCTACAGAGAGTTGGTGGGAAAATATGTTTTCTTCTTGCTATTTATTTCTCCCAAGTCTTCAGCAAACATCTGCAAACTTTCTCTTGGTTCACACCTGGTATTTTCTAGAAGATCTTTTGTATAACTGACCAGCATTAGGCTTCCATAAATCACAAACCATTCAAAACTAAACAGATCATACATCACCTTGCTGCTAGACACACAAGGAAGATTCAAATCATATTGAATTTATAATCAGGGACAACATAAAGAGAATTATTTTGCTACTGCAGCCAGATGAAATGGGTAAGAAGCAGACAGACATTTTGAGTTTTATTGGTACACTGACAATGTTGTATCTGTGAGACAGTATTTAATTTTACTCCCTAACCAGCAGTGTAACTATCAGGCTCAGAAACGCAGTTCCACCAAAGGGAACAGTTAGAGAAAAGAAATAACACACATTTTCTGCCCCAGCCCCAGTACAATGGCCATAATTGCCTGGCAGGAGTTAAGATTCACTAAAATAAATTCACATCAGGCACCCTGAGCTTCCTTCCATCACCGGGTCAGCACGCTGCAGCACACAGGGCTGTGCTGACACCAGTGACCCACAGGAGCCCA